GAACACTGACAGAGACCTGAGAGGGAGTGGACTCTGTCCTGCCACTGTGGCTGAGAAAGGGGACACTCAGGATCACAGGACACTGAGCTGAGGACAGGTGATACTGGGCCACAAGGCAGGAGCTCCCTCTTCATCTTCAACACCAGTCATGGCTGGCTTTGGGGGTCCCCACCTGCTCCTTCTGCATGGCAGGTCCCCCTCCTGGGCAGATCCTGTCTCTGCCAGTTAAACCTGCCATCCTGTCCCGACTCTCCTATAGAACAGAGGCCACGCCCCACACCTGGCATGAGGAGCTCTGGCCCTGCCAGGACATCCCCATGCACAACTACTGGGCACACACCATGCTCCTAGTCCCCTACCTAGGCTACCAGGTGCCCTGCACAAGGCTCACCAGCTCAAGGCCAGAACCTTGCAGGCACTTCTGCCCATGTGGTGAAGTCTCAGTACTCTGAGAAGGAACCCTTGGGAATGGCTGAATGTTAGGGCTGGGTGCTCAGCCAGCCCCGCCCACAGGGGGTTCAGGCCCTTCCACAGTGACTCTGGACGGGACTCTGTACACAGCAAGCAAGCAGGCTCTCTCTTCCTGGAGTCTAAGAAGCTCTGCTCCATCATGTACTCCCCACCAAGATGTCCTGACTCACCACAGGACCAGAACCAAGAGCCAAGTGACCACAGACCAACATCTCTGAGCCCATGAGCCAAAATAAACCTTTCCTCCTTAAAGCTGCCTTTCTCAGATGTGTAACAGCAATGGGAAGCTGACACATGACTCCTAACACACACATTCTCGTAGCCAGGGTACCAGCCACCAAGGGCAGCAGCCAGGCACACCAGGTGCTGGGAGCAGGCACTACCCCTGCCCAGTGAGGGATGGATGGTGGCAACTGAGGAGGAATAACTGACTTTCAAATGGCCTGAAGGAAAAGTGCGAAGTCAGGAGGGACAAGGACAGGAGCTGTGTCAATCATCAGAGAAGATGCCCCTTGGGAAGTGGCGCCCAGGTGAAGGAACCACTGTGCAAAGACACTGGGCAGGGCAGGCTCCACAGCTGTTGTGGAAGGGCCAGCACAACAAGCACAGAGCAGGGGACATAGGGAGGCTTGTGGTCAGGCCACTCAGACCCATAGGCCACAGTAACAGTCCTGGTTTATGATGACACCACAACAGGAAAGCTAAGCCAGTGTGGACTGTGATGAGAGTGCTTTCCCAGTGCGTGGCTCGGGCTATGAGAACAATCCCCAGCAGCCCTGGCCTCCCTCTGGCTGGGCACTCAGAGCAATGGCAATCAGCAAGCAGCCCCAGGGTGTGTGTGAGACTTGGGCTCCAGGAACACCGGGGACAACAAATGTCCCTCCAGCTAAGTAAGATGGGTCCAAGAAGCCTCAACCTGGACCCAACCTCCTTCCCCAGGTTCATTCAAGAAAACCCCAGGAGGATCCCCAGGCCCTGCAGATCGCAGTCAGCATAATGACCCTTCTGGGGCTGGAAGGTGCGGCAGAAGAGGAGGGGCGCCCTCCCACACCTGGCAGGCAGTGCTGGGAAGGTCAGTGAGCAGGAGGTTCCTGCTGCTCCCCGAGAAAGCTGCTGGAGAGGCCAGGAGGCCCCTGGGGTCTGGCCAGCCCCACTTGCCCATGTAGGCAGGGTCACCAAGGGACCTTTGCCCAGCACCGCACACTGATAACCAAATCTCAAGCAGAGCCGTGGTGGCACCAGGCTGCTGGTTCACACGAGCCTTGGAGTAGAAAACCAACTGAATCATCCCAGTGACTGTCCAGGCCAAGCCATTGTGAGACTAATCAAAATTGGAAGAAAAAAACCAGATTGGGTGTTTCCATAACAAGGAGCTTTAATGATCCACGGCAGCACACCAGCCTGTATCTGATAACCAGGCTCAGATCCCCACCTATCCACCTGGGCTCTCAGCTCAACTTCTCAGGGGCTCAGGTGGACAGGAGCATCCCACAGCAGAAGGCTCCATGGTTGTCAGGATTGGCTCAGAAACTTGATCTTTGCACACAGTTCCAAACCCTTCCCCAGGGACCTGGACACTATCTTGGGAGAAGGCCCTTCAGGCAGAGCATCTAACTCTGCTTTTTCTGCTCACCAGGAAAGGCAGGGCGGGGCTGCTTTGCAGGTCCATGCCCCAGGTCTGCTTCCTGCTCCTGAAGTCCACTGCCTCTGATCGTGGCCTCCCGGCTCCCCCCATTCCACAAGCCACACCAACACCTCCTCATTCACGTCTCAAGAAAGAACATTCGAACAGACTCTGAAAACAAAGGGCATGGTCAAGGTCGAGGGTCATCCCTGAGTTCACATGACCTGGCTCCAAGCCTATGCCTCTGTCAATCAGTGGCAGGGGACGACGTGTCAGCAAAAGCCTCCTCTGTGTCCTGGCCCTGGAGCTGCCGGACTCTCTCACACCTGCTGCTGGCTCCTCCCCTCTGAGTCCTCTGGAGAGCAAGGGAGCACACTCTTCCCTAAGGGACTGTTCTCACAAAGGAGGAAACTTCTTGGCCTTATCAGACATCTGACTTCTCACTGAAACCCACAATGAATGAAAATTCATCCCAGAAATGCTGGGGCTGGAAAGCTTGCATGAGGTCACTATCCTGCTGAGGACCACTGGGTGTGTACCCTGGAAGGGACAGACCTGGAGACCCAGCCAAGACCCCCACTGTACCTGGTAGCCTTAAGCTGCACATCCCGCCCCCTGATGTGTGTCCTCTCTGCCCACAGCAGGTACACAGAAGGCAGCGATTGCCTGCCCTGGGCTGAAAGCTCAGGGTGTCTGGGGCAATGAGGATGGAATAGCTATTCCGTGACTCCAGGAACCCGTGGGCCAGTCGGGGGCCTGGCCCTTACAGAAAGATGTTACCAACCAAAGTAACGGTGGTGTCATTATGGCAGCTACAACAGCAGGAAGGCCACAGCTCTCACAAGAACCAGCACTTTCCCACACACTGCTGCCTGTCCCAGGAAGGAGGAGCCACCAGCACCTCATTCTAATGACAAGGAAACTGATGCTGGGGGCACTGACCGGGCAGTGTGTCCACAGTCTGCTGTGGAGCCTGGCAGGTGGGGGAGAGTGGGGTCCAGCCAGCGACACAGTTCAGACCCCAGTCACCACTTTCTAACTATGGCGACTTGAGAAGCCGCCCAACCTTCCTCCACCCATTCCTCGCTCACATTGGAAATAAGAGTAGTCTCCTGCTCGACAGCAGACCCGCCAATGTGCACAAAGTGCTTTAGAACAGGGCCTGGTGCCCCGTGGCTGTTCTGTGAGCTTCTTGCTATCACAACTGCTCTCACTACACATCGCCCAGCCTTACAAATGGAGCTGCTCAGCAGGTCCCTGCACGAGCATCATCCTTCAGAGGGATTCAGTAGGAATCCCTGTCCCAAAGATCTATGTAGCTGCCAGGCTCAGCCACGCTCCCCACACTGTCGCCTGAGGCAGCACTAGCACAAGAACTGACACCTGGAAGCTTCCTAGAGACAGCTCAGGGACAAGGAAGAGCCCTGTTTTGCTGGCCACCAGCTGGGCCTGCACCCAGGATGGTGACAGAGACCAGGACTCAAGAGGTAGCATAAATGCCACAATTGTAGGAACACACAGCCGGTCCCTAAAAAAGTCAAGACTGAACCCTGGCTCTGCCCAGTCCCTATGGGTGCACTGTGCATGCTTCCAAGCTTCAGTCTCCTGGGCTTGGAAAGCAGGGCTGGGGAACCGTGCCCTGAGAGATAAAATGGACACAGCAGTGCATCATCTCAACCCAGCCCTGCTACGGGACAGGGCCTGGACAAGCAGTGGATCGTGTCTTCACCCCAGTGCTTGGAAGAGCTCCCAGAGTGCAGCAGGAACTCATGGGCGTGTGGTGGGCTAAGCACAGTGACTTCACACCTCCCCTCATATGGCCTCCTGACCAACAGGAGGAGTGGAAATAAGAAAAATAAGAAACTCACAATTGAGAAAACTGAGTCACAAGTCACCTTTCCCATGGCTCCAGCCCTAGGAAAGGACAGGAGTCTAGCACACAGGAAGGACATCCAGCTACTGGAAGAGCAGAGGCCCTGGAGAGCACAACACAGGGACAAACCCCACCTTGCCTGCCACCCCCAAGACATGGGAGGCTGTGAGCAGCTGCCACTGTGTCCCCATCACTCCCAGGTGGGAAGTGGGCTCTGCAGCAAGGAGCGGCCAAGGGAGCGGGTGGGAGCCATGGGAAGCGAGGGAGGCTGAGGCCACCGTCCCTGAACACGTGGGAGAGAAGAACTTGGTCAGCAGGATGGCTATTATGTGACAAGAGCCTCTTTGTTCTGACAGAAAGAAACGATGTCACCTCTCCAATTATCACATAAGGAAAGTGCTAGCTCAGGCACCCGTCTCTCTGGGGAGGCCGAGGACACCCACTGTCTCAGTGCTTTTCATGGATAATGTGACTTTGTTTCTTGTGACCCCTGAGCCATTTTCTAGAGGAAAGAATCACATCTGTCCACACAAAAAAGGAGGCTACTAGGGAAATGGGTGGGGAGCAGGGAACAGCTGAGCCGTGTGCATCCAGGAGCACACAGGGTCAGCGTGACAAGCAGAGGGGGCTCTCCTCCAAGGCAAGCCTTGGCACGAAGGCCCGCGGAGGTGTCCTCGCTCCAAGCACAGCAAAGGGTCCCTTCTGGATGCCGAGTCGGGGCAGCGTGCCTGTGTGAGGTGTGGAGGCCACACTTGGACTCAGCCACACTCTGGCCTAGCCATGTCTACACAGGCGGGAGGGGCAGGGTGCCAACCGTGCCCGGCGTCAGTCTCCACACTCCGCCCAGGAAGACCGAGGCCTCACTCGTAGGGAAGTACCTGCCTTTGAAACCACATTTGGCCAGTGCCACAGTCACTTCTGTGGATGACACATCCAAATGGCTGCTTCAGCCCTCAGACGGCACTCAGCCATTCCTGAGCCTTCCTCTGCCTCCTGCAGGCCCCTCAGCTGGGTGGCACCAGCCTCACTCACCTGGAACCTGTGCACCAGCTCCAGGGACTGGCTGTCATTCTGGTCGGCTTCAAGGATGACATCAGTCAGTTTGTGGATGATGACGTCCAGGGGGCCCTGCTCCTCGATCGGCCGGCTGAGGTTCAGCTGTAATGGGACACAGAGAGCAACTTCAGCGCCTGAGGCTACTGCACCCTACTACCTACCCCAGGCACAAGCCAGGGGACCCACAAGCCTCTGCAGCATACCAGAGAGGACGAAGCTCCTAAGGGCCCACTGACAGGACGAGACCCCTACAGCCCCACAACTCGTCTCTCCTAATTCCTAGAGGGCAGCCTCTGTGTTTGCACTTCTGGTCCCCAAGCCCCATAGCACCCAGGGGCAGAAAATCCACGCACCTAAGTAGGCTGCGGAGTGGCCGTCTAGACATTACTGCACATGTCTCTTCAGCCCACGACCTACCGAAACTAGGGCTCAGAGAGGTTCAGTAAAATGACTCAAGTCAGACAGCAGATTCGACCCTGGATCTAAGTGGATATTCCTTCCACAAAACTATAAAAACTCTCAGCAGAGCTGGTGGTCTCAGTAGATCTAGGAGTTGCTGCCTCAAGTAACAGCAGCTACTCACTGCATACCGAGATCTGGGCTTGGCCTGACTGGCGGAGGTGTGTGGGCTGTCTGGAAGTCCGGGTTGCTCACCCTGCTCACTGGGAATGTGTTTGTTTTTTTAAGAGGACAGGGATTGGGAAGATCAGGCCCCAAGGGAGCCAGAGCTAGGTGCTGACAGCCAGCACCACCTGACCAGAGCCAGAAGCACCTGCCGCTAGGCTTCCTGACCCGCCAGCTGTCTGCTGCCGGCACATGGCCACCACCTGCAAGGACAGTCCCTTGGAGGCAGTAGCGTCAGCCTTGCACCTTGCTGACCCCCACATGGCTTCAAAAGAGGCCAGAGGAGGCCACAAGCCCCACCCCCAAGTGCAGCTTCCTCCAGGATGGAGGCTGAATCAAATAACAGCTAGGAAGGGTCATTCCGAGCAGGTATGTGCTCCTGGCTTATATGTTTGCTCCAGTTTATTTCCAGCATCCCGGGAAAGGATCTCACAAGTGAAGAGAGCGAGGCACAGACTAAAGACCTACCAAGATCTGGGTGGGAACGGTGGTGCTGCTGGGAGTCAAACGGGAACCCACAGTGGTGCCTGGCATTCAATCCCCCTCCCCGCCCACCACTGCCCTCTGACCAGTGCCAGCCATGCCCCAAGCAGCTGTCCTCAGGCCACCACCTAGCTCCTGGTCCTCTGGCCAGGTCAGGGCACCAGCAAACACAGCAGAGAGGAAAGAGGTTGGGTGTTCACCTTCCTGTCCCCACGTGCCACCCTCCAGATGCACTCCTGGTTGCTGTCATAGCTCCTCTCCCATAACGGCTACCACCTCTATGGCTCCTATGACAAATTTGGTCTCCTTGTCCTCCACTGCTCCTGTTCCCTCCGAGGCACCCTGTCCCTTTTCGGCTCTCTCAGCCCTCCTCCACCTAGCCACACACAGTCCCTCCGCAACCCTTCTATTAACTTCAGACATCCTCCACTCTGCAGGAAGGATGCTGAGGGCTCACCTCTATGTAGGGGCGCCCCAGACATCCCAATAAGAACTTGACGCCCCCCGCCCCGCCCGTGGGGAGGGGCCAAGGGCCCACGAACTCGCAGGACCGGAGGTCGCTGTTAGTCTCCTGGGTAAGGAGGGGAAGAGCCAGCCAGACATCTTCTGAGACTCGGGCACACACTGGTCCACACAGAAAGGCCAGGGCCAGGGGACAACCTTCCGACCCTCCCAGGCCAGGACACCAAGAGCCCAGGAAGGAAAAATGGCCAATCTAGCCAGGCAGCTGGAAGTAGAGAGGCTCGGCAGCAAGGCCGCGTACAGTCCCTGCCAGGCCGCCAGCTCTTCATCCCCCAGTCTCAGTCTCTGCCTTGGAAAAAAGGAGAGCACCAGGGCCTTCCTGGCTCTGTGTGTAGACCCCAGACCCTCCTCCCCTGGACACCTGAATTTAAGGAAGGTACAGAAGCCAGTGGGATGAGCTAGAGAAGGGGGGCACTCGGAATACCCACCCGCTTCTGCCACGTTCCACTGTGACGGGCACCAGGACAAGAGGCCAGTATTCCCAGACCCAGAGAGCCACAGAGAAGCAGGTCACTCAAGTGATGCTGGCACACACCCTGCGCCTGTCCCCACACTACAGGGAGACAAGTCAGCCTGCCAGGAACTGGGGTCCCCAATAACTGGGGAAGGAGGCAGGCAGAGGGGACACCCCTGGCATCACCCTGAGGCCTGTAGACCTGACAACCGTGGGCTGTTTGGAAAATGAGCTCTTGGCATTCCTGGTGAGCTGCTGAGGTAAACAGTCGAGTTCTGGAAGCCAGCCACCTGCCTCTGTGTATTTTCCAAGCACTTTTATGCCAGTGCAGCCCTTTCAGGAGAACAACAGCTCAGGACACGCAGGGGCCCGGCCCCTCCCCAGCATGGAGGCCTCCTGCAGGGTGCAAGTGGGGCCCTGGTGGCTCTAAAGACTTCTGCACCGTGCTCCTTCAAGTGACCACACATGCCACGATCACCCCACAGGGTTCTGTTCCTTGAAAATGCCTCAAGAGCCTCAAGTCCCTCCTCACCAGCTGAGAAAGAGGAGACAGCCCCCAGAATACCTGAGGGGAGGGCAGTGGAGGCAGAGGACGCTGCAGAAGAGGGACCCTTAGGGGAGGACTCTGCAAAGGAGACACAGTCAGGAGGGGACTCAAGGGGGTACCTCAGGGGAGGGGACACACAGAGGCCCACTCCCAGATGTTGGTGGGAAGGGCCAGGCCTAAGTGACCCTGGGACAGGTGGTCTGCTGCTTTCTGACCATACCCTGCCCTCAGGAAAGGGAGCTTCCCGGGAACTTCCTGTTCTCTTCTGCAGAAGGGGCACAGTGAGGGTGTCTGGATGAAAGGGCCCCCGCTGAGGCCAGAGGAAGTCTGGGTGCGCGTTTCCAAGTCACGCCATCGTGTGAGGCCCGTGTTGGACACCGGCAGTGTGGTGCTGGGGAGAACAAGGGGCCACTGTTTCCTTCAGCAACAAGGTCAGCAAGGCTCAAAGGAGGGGGCAGGGCTAGGAGGTGGGACAAAGGCCTGCAAACCCCAGTGGCCCAAGAGTCACTTCTGACTTTTAAAATGATTAACTAATCATCCCCAGCCTGGTAATTAGGCCAGTGAGGCCCTGACACATGCCCACCTCCCCAAGACTGAAACTAGGGACGGGCAAGGCAGCCAGACCTGGAGATCCACCCAGCCCTGCTGCCTCAGTTTCCCCACCAACTCCTCCCTATACCTCACAGGGCGGCATGAGTCCCAGAGCAAACGTCCAATCCTTCCTTATACTTCTCAACTCACTCCACCCTGAACAGGAAGAACTCCTGTCTCACTATGTCCCCAGGACCCTTGGCACATCCCTGGAGGATGGCACCATAACTTCCGATCACAAGCCACTGGACTCAGGCAGCGACTTCCGCCCGCTGCAGGCTGCTCATCGCCCCTGGCTGCGGAGTCCTTCACTGTGAAGCACGTGGCACCCAGGACCACAGAATCTGCTGCACTTCCTGAAAAGGCCTAACAGGCCCAAAGAACCCGGAGACTCACAAAGCCACAACAGAGCCACGGTGGGAAACAGGAGGACCCAGAACCTTCGCGGCCCCATCTGTAATGCAGGTGGCCTGGAGGCCCAGCACGCGCACACTCTTGCACACTCAGGGCTGTTCCTTGCACCCGCACACAGGGACGCCCGATCCTCACAGCTGTCTGCACCAGGGCCATGCAGAGGCACGCTGTGGCTGAAGGCTCTGCTGCCGTCTCATGGCCTCATGCCCACTGGTAACGGGATCTCGCCCAGGAGTGCCACACACTCAGGAAACGCCAGCCATCGCGTTTCCGCTCCTCTGTATTCACACTCATGGGCCAGCAGGAGCCTCCCTGGCATCAGTGGGAGCTCAACACAGGCCAGAGTTTGGATGCTGCAACCGTTGGTTGACTCACAATAGTGTCCCCACAGTGCTGCCACACCAGAGCTCACCATTGTGGTTCATGATGACAATTAGCCTTTACAAAGGGCTTATCCTGGGCTACAGGCTGGCTAACAAACATGGATAACCTGCAGCACAGATAAGGTCACTCAGCCACAAAAGTTTAGTGACACTCCCAAGGGCACAGAGGTCACAGCACCATGGAAACCCAGGTGTCCCTCCAGCCAAAGCCAGACAAGTACCCTCCACTCCCAAGGCTCCCACGTTCCCAGCTTTCCTTCAGCCCCCTTCCCCCCATGCACCTCTGTGGAGTAGAGAACTTCCAATTGTGGCCTCAAGTGCAAGCCCTGTGTCAGAAGTGCTGCCTGGCCAGGGTGAGACAGGGCTGGAGAGGCGAGAGGGCGGGTCTGCTCCACGCCTCTGCAGCCTCCTGAGGAGCTGAGAATCAGGACGGTTTGCCCAACTAGGTTTGGGGTTCACAAGCAGCAGCAGGGCCCCTGTGCAGGAGAGGTCGGGTCTGGGCTCCCCACAGGTTCCAAAAGGGAGCAGGCCCCGGAGTCAGTGCTGGCAGTGTGTCTCCTGGCAGGGTTTGGCTCCAAAGGTAGCCAGGCAGGGAGACGAAGGCTTTCCTTAGCAGGCAGCTCACTCCAAAGGAGCCCCACGTGTCCCTCAGCAAGGTCCAGAGCTGGAGCTCACCAAGGCCTGCCAGCAGGCTGGACCAAGATGCAGCTGGTCCTCCCAGAAGTCTCAGCCCAGGACCAGTGAGGGAGGCTGGCGAACACGCTCCCTGACCTAGGTCCCCGGTCTCTCAGAATCTGTTTCCCAATTACTACGTAATGGGAAGAAGCAGCAACTTACTCACAGCAAAGGAGTGGACAAAATTTCCCCTCCAAAAGACAAGGGGCCAAGGCAATTAAATGGCCAAATGACAATGCCTGGTAGTTCCAACCTCCTGGGAAACTTCCAGCAACTTTATTTCAAAGAGCCACCCAGCAAGCAGGGCTCTGCGAGAACAGGCTGACCCTGTGTTCTCAGGAGCTCAGAGCCCTGGTCTGCACCCAGTGCCACAGAGTCAGGCTCAGGAGCAGATTAAAAAGATAAACAC